TCGACGGTCTGTCGTCATTAAGCTCAGCGAAGGGAAAATCGAGGGGCAGTCGGAAACCATCCGCTATTTTCTTGGAGTCCCCTGAAGAGGCCCCAGAAGATTTTTAGATGGAAAGGTGTGCACTACACGAAAAGCTTAGTTTCATGAGGGCCACGTTTTTGTACTAAACCAAATTAGTATGTTTGTCATACCCGGTTCTTTGTCGAGGAGGCCCCGCTACGTGAAAAATCGGCCGCAAAAGTTGGAGAAGAGAAGTGAGCTAAAGCAAAGAAGGCAATGTTAGCACGCCGAACCCGAGCAGCTCGCTTGTTTGTCTTGAGTTCAGTCGTTGCACAAAGCGCTCCAAGACCTTTGTGACCCTGGCTCGCGATGTCTTGCATCAATGCTATCAGGTACTTTTTGCGTGTGTGTGTTTATCTTTTACCTTGTTTGCCGGCCTGGATAGCACGCGCTGCTGGACTGTTTTTTGTCGTATGCTCGACAGTCTCATTTTGCATACAATTTTGGGAATCAGTTGGCGACGGAGCGGAGTGGCATATGGTTTCGGTTTCGATCGAATAGCCGTTGTCTCCGCTCGCGCGACGAAGCACGCGCAGCTGCAAACCTGTCGATGTTGCCTTCGCGTGCATGCGAACATAATTGCACGACAGAAACACCAGCCGCGATGCTTGAAATCCATTGTTTTACGTTTGCTTATTTTTGGCGAAAATCTGGCACGTCCGGACAAGAAAAACGGTGGCAAGCGGTTTTTCGGAATTGCTTGGCAATGCCTGCAGCACTGTGTACTTGTGGGATGTCTCAGCAGCTAAAACACAAGCGGCGAGTTCCGTCACGACACGTCACATCAGAACACAACACAACAGAAAGTTCCCTTCGTTTGTACAGCACTCAAAACGAATATTTTTTTATTTTTCTAAGAATATCTACTCCAAAAGCCAATTTTGCTGCTCCAAAACGCTGTTTCGGCGGCTCCAAAAGGTGCTCCAAAATGGTTTAGGCCAATTGCATCACTGGAAGAATTGAAAATTCTTCCAGTGATGAATTGAATCGAATTGAAAATTTCCGCAAAAAGGCGCACAGCTTTTAAATCAGACAGCAGTAGGTTTTGATATTTTGGCATCTGATACCAGCTCACAGCGCTACAATGGGGCGGAGACAGTCTGTTCGACGATGCGTTGTAAATTTGTGCGGTGAAAAAAGCACGGTTCTTTCTGCTTGCAACAACCCGGCATATTTTTTCTAATTTGATTTCTTTTTTTTTTTTCTCGTAATGAAAGGGCTGCTTAACTGTCTACATAGAAAATAGCTTATTCCGACTCTTAGCTCCGCATAGAAACATATGCAAGGCTCCTCCCATAATTCGATTTTGCCTCTTGCGTGTGCTTTCCACGTGCTTTGCGTCTGCTCCTACGAGAATCGGATACGATTTTTATAGTGTACGACAAAAAAACAAACAAAAAAAAACATGCCCCGTATGGACAGCCCTTAGGGAGCGCTAAATGATGTTTGCTGTAAGATTATAATGTTGTGTTCTCTGTGGAGAACCATTAAAATGTTTCCATAGATACGTCTCGGCAGTGAGCTCGCGAGTGTTTGTTGGGTAAACAAAAAGGAACACTTACCTCGGCGAGATCTGTGCGTCCGAAGTTGATGAAGGAACGTTCTATCTTTGTCGTCGTCTCCGCGACGGCGCCGGCGATCGTGAGTGCTGAAGCCATCGCGAGCAAAGAGTAAGATTCGTCTTCTTCGGTGGATAAATAATTCAATTTCAGAATCGTTTTAAGCGGCACGCATGGAACGATTAGCTTTGTGGATAGCTTAACCAGCTTAACTGTCTATTTCGTGACCGAAAATATGCAGTTGACTAGATCGTTCGTTTTTGATGCCCACTTCTGATATTGTGATATAGTGCCTACAACACGCAAGAAAACAGGAATGCAGTGTACAGAATGAGCACTTCGTTGACGCCATTCTGTTTAAACGTACAAACGCTTTCTGAATAAAAAGTACGCGCTCGAAGTGGAGGTATTCTCAAAATCCTAGTTTTTTTATTATTATTTTTTTTTTTACTTTCGTATTTTCATGGCATAGGTTGCTCATACTCTACTCAGTAAAAACGCACAATTTTTACGGCGATAAAAAAATGGAACACCACTCATTATGCGCTTCTACACTCTAAAGAGGCGCGTGCACGCACGTGCTGAGAGCGGACGCATGTTCTATGAGCTCCTCAAAAAATCGTCCTTTTTCTTGGAAAATTCCTTTTCTGTGCGGTGAAAAGTGTTGGAGAAGACAGAGCTAACGTTCCGGTTTCGCTCGATACCACTTTCATGCCGGTGAGCCGAATCTTTCTCATTTCAAGGACATTGTCACGATTCTGGCCCACGGAGGGCCTGTTAACATTCGTTAGGCTTCGCGCCGCAGGGCGCGCCGCACCGAGCTTCTCGGAGCGGCCGCCTAGCTAGGCCTATCGCGTGGCGGTCGCCGTCCTGGTGGGGGCTGAAGGCTGGAGGATGAATACAAGGACCCAAGAAACTCCAGGTACCGGTCGAGTGATCGGCTATAACCCAGACGAGGTGGCGCATGGATTTATCAAGCCGGCGCAGCGGCCACTCCGGGATGATGGAATCAAGGATGCCACCTTGGGGGACCAGGAGGACGGAAGACCCGGCAACGGCTGGGTGCAAGTACTGATGCAGAAGAAAAAGAGCAAGAGGGAGACACAAGGCCTCGAGAAACAGGTTCGAGATGAAGCCGGGGGAACAACGGCGGAGAATTTCAAGTCGAGGAAAACTCTGAGGTTGCCCAGTCTCAGAGTTTACAAGCACAAGGTCATTATCAAACCTCATCGGGTCGCGGTGGACCTGAAGCGGTACAGGAGCCTGATCGGGGAAGCGGTCCGGAGCTCCCTGCCGAGAGGATTGGACGAGAAGACGGTCGTAAGGCTGCTGGAAGCACAGAATACAATCATGGTTTGTACGGACGAATGGAGCGAAGCGGAAGCCGTCGCAGGTATCAAGAAACTGAATTTTCCTGTCGGCGTGCTAGACGTCGAAGCGTATCATGTCTCCCCGAGCGAAGATGCGTGCCGCGGCGTCATACACGGTGTCCGGCCTGACCTGACTAACGAACAGATTCGACAGAAAACCAGAGCTGTGGGATACGAAGTTCTAGAAGCAAGGAGGCTAGGGAAGTCACAGTCTGCGGTAATCGTATTTGCGGGGAAGAAGGTACCGTTCACGGTGAGCTTCAATTGGCTTGAGACTCCCTGCTTTATCTATAAGAAGACTAGGGCGGCTTGTCTGAACTGTGGTGAAGTGGGCCATCGGACCGACGTATGCAGCAAGCCGGAGGGATTTGCGTGCTCGGCGTGCAGGGCCACTGAGGTCGGTGAGGACCATGAGTGTGTGCCGAAGTGTGCCTTGTGCGGGGGGGCCCACAAGACCTACGACAGACACTGCCCGGAGAAGTTCTACAAGGAGACTAAAAGCAGGGAGCCTAGACGGAGTCGGGGGAGACGTCGCGACGGCGCGCAGCACGTGCGGTGGCTTTCGAGAGAGTCGGGACGGAGCGTGTCAGACTCGCGCACCCGCTCGCGCAGCCGGTCCGCCAGCTGTGGGGAAGCGCGTCTCGAGATATGACTACATCCAAGCGGCGCCGGCAAAAGGGCAAGCAAAAAAAGAGCAAGCGAAGCGCCTCTATGGAAGGGATCGTCACTGATCCAGGCAATCGCAAGAAGTGGCCGGAACTCCCAAGGGTCGGGGATCAGGAGTCGAGGAGCACGTCCCAGCCCAAAGGTGGAGGGGCGAGCAGCAACGGAGCGATACAAGACCTGCGGAGGGACGTGACCCACTGCAAAAAGACCATGGAGGAACTTTGGAACAAAAGAGAAAGAACCGGGGGAGTCTCGGCAGAGCAAGTACAAGCGATCGTGGAGACGACCGTTCAGCGGGCGATCCAGGGACTTCAAGAATTCTTCACCAGCCAACTGATGCAGCTGACATGCAGGGTCACCGAGCTGGAGAAATTAGGAAAGACTCTTGAGCAAAACCAAGAGAGCCTCTTCAGGCAGTTCGTCTCGAAGCGGAGAAAAACGGGCGAGCCTCTACGGGACGCAGAAATTTCGGACGCAGAATCATGCGCAAGTCAGCGAAGCCAAGTTTGAAAGTGTGGCAGTGGAACTGCAGGGGGATGGGTCGGAAACAGGCGAGCCTTAGCCTGAGGGTGTCGCTTGAACCCAATCCCCCGGCGGTGATACTGCTGCAGGAGCCGGGCAAGAAACCAGTGAAGATCAAAGACTATGCTACAATTGAGGGCGACCAATACGTCGCGACGCTTGTGCACAAGACCTACGCAGCCACGAGACTAGACTTGGATGGCTGTGAGGTGTCGTGCTGTCACATTGTGATCATCCCAGTGAAAAAAGGGGATCGGGGTGTACATGTGGTGAACGTGTATGGAAATCCAAAGAACCATAAGACGGACTACAGGCGGCTCATCGCGAAGGTGGTCAAGGAGGCGGGGAAGGACCCTGTGGTTATTGCGGGAGACTTCAACGCCCCTCACCCGGGATGGGGTTACAAGTACGTTTCTCCGAAAGGCAGAAGGCTGGCGAAAAGCATCAACCAGGAACGCCTAACATTGCTTACCGAGGTTGATCAGCCAACCAGGACGGGCACGAGCTCATGCAGAGACACCTGTCCGGACCTGACGCTTGTCAAGAACGTGGCGAACGCTGAGTGGACTAACCTCATGGAGCAACTCGGTAGCGATCATTGTATCCTCGAAACGACTATTCACGAGTCCGGATACACAAGAAAGACGGGAAAGGCAAGAATAACGGATTGGGACCGATGGCGAAAACAGAGAGGGAAAGGTGCAGCTAGCATCGAGAACATCGAGGATTGGCCTTCGGAGGTGATCGCCAGTGTCAAGCCGTTCGTGGCTGAAGTTGAACTCTCAGAGAAGACCCCAGCAGTGAACACGCGTCTCCTTCATCTTTGGGAAGCACGACGCGGGCTGACCAGGAGATGGAAGAAACAGCGCTACAACAAGAAGCTGAGGAAGAGGATTCAAGCACTCACAAAGCTGGCCGAGGACTATGCGGTGGACTTGGCTAGGAAGAACTGGTATGGCCTGTGTGACTCTATACGGGGAAGCCTAGGCACGGCTCAGGCATGGAGGATGCTTAGGGCCTTAATCGATCCGAGTAGGGCAAAGGTGGTGACGGGCGGCCGTTTAGCGGAACTGATACATAAGTTACCCGGGGACCGCAAGCAGATCATGGATCGGCTGGCGGAAAGGTATTTGTGTTTGGAATCCACAGGAGAAATCGTGGAGTATGAAGGGCAGGAAAACCCTGAATTAGACAGGCCAATTACTGTCGCGGAGTTGGAGTAAGAGCTCGGGGTTATGAGGAAGGGCGCAGCACCCGGACCGGACTCCCTCACAGCGAAACTCCTCTACAACTTAGGGGAAGGGGACCTGAAAGAGCTGGTACGCCATTTCAACGAACATTTCTGGGAGCGCGGGCTTACTCCAGATAGTTGGAAGGTTGCTGACATTCGCTTCATTCCAAAACCCAAAAAGGAGCTCAAGCTAGAAAATCTGCGGCCGATTTCGCTTACATCTTGCCTGGGCAAGGCGTTCGAACGAGTCATAAACTCCAGGGTTATGAAGTATCTAGACAAGGAACAACTCCTTCCGAACACGCAGTTCGGGTTCAGACCTCACACATCGACGCAGGACATACTCTTGTGGATATATAAGGATATACTGGAGAATCCGAGGAGCGGCCAAACGAGATGCCTTCTAGCTTTAGACTTGAAAGGCGCGTTTGATAATGTTTCGCACGAAAGCATACTTAGGGGTCTCAGCACAGTTAACTGCGGGAGAAGAACCTTCGAATATGTCCGCAGTTTCTTGACGGACAGGACAGCCACGTTGACGTTGGAAAGTATGCAATCTGAGACATACAGACTGGGTTCCAGGGGTACGCCGCAATGGGCAGTGCTTTCCCCGTTGCTGTTCAACCTTGCGCTGCGGGGTCTACCAGAAGCGCTGAGGGCGGTTCCGAACGTGGAGCATGCCATCTACGCGGATGACATCACCCTGTGGTGCAGGGAGGGCAGTGACGCGGAAATAGAAGAGAAGCTTCAGGCGGCGGCGGATATCGTCGGAGAGTACGTTATGAGATGCGGGCTTAAGTGCGCCCCGGAGAAATCTGAGCTTCTTGCCTTCCGAAACCCTCGCGATAAGCTAGTCGATCACATTGACGTGGCGATAGATGGGGTCCGGGTCCCAAAACCAGCGGAGGTTCAGATTCTGGGCCAGCTTCTACAACAGGGGAGTGGGAACAAGTCGACTATCGACAGACTGGACGCCATGACCACGCAGGTGTGCGGTATGATGAGGCGAATTAGGAACCGTAGACACGGTATAAAGGAGAAAGAGGCAATACAGTTGGTCCAGGCCTTCATTATTGCCAGACTGACGTACGGCACTCCGTACCTGAACTTGAACAAGGCGGAGATGCAAAAGCTAAACGTACTGATAAGGAGAGCGTACAAAAACGCGCTGGGGCTACCGGAGCGTACGGCGACCGAGAAACTGCTTAAACTTGGGGTGCATAACACCATAGAAGAACTTCATGAAGCTCAACTAGTGTCACAGCTGAAGCGACTTTCTTCCACAGTGAATGGAGCGTGGCTTCTGGACAAACTGGGAATGGCAGTACCCGGCGGTTCTCACGGGCCCGGAGACGCGGGGGAAGAGCTGCCGGCTGAGACCCGGCAGAGATTCACGATCAGTAGAATCCCCCGCAACATGCACCCGGATAGGAATGCGGAACGGAGACAAGCGCGAGCGGTGGCCCTAGCGCGTTCCTGGGACAGCAGAGAGGGAACCCTGTACGTGGATGGGGCCGGTCCGGTGCTGGGGGTGGCTGCAATAGCGGTGGCCAGTGCGCAAGGGCAGATCAGACGCGTCGCCTCCATACGAGCGCAGACGGTTGAACAAGTGGAGGAGGCGGCCATAGCATTGGCGGTGGTTTGCAATCCTCGTGCGACGATAATTTCGGATTCACAAAGAGCTTGTCAAAACCTTGCGCGAGGGGTCGTGGGTCAACCAGCTCTAAGGCTCCTCCGCAAAACCGCAGTAGAGGGAGTCAATCTGATCTGGACCCCCGGCCATATGGGGCAAGTCGGAAACGAGGCGGCGAATGCTGCGGCCCGAGGTGCGTTATACCGGGACTCGGTTCTGCCCCAGAGGGATCTGGACAGTGCGCTCACTTACAGTGAGGCCTTAAAGGCTCTACGAACACATAGGACAGATTATCCTGGGCCGGCCAAAGGTCTCAGCAAAGGAGAAGAGTTCACGTGGAGACGACTTCAGACGGACACGTTCGTCACACCGATCCAGCTACATCTGTGGTACCCAGAGCGGTACGCCACGGCGGACTGTCCCTTCTGTGGTGAGCCCTGGGTGGACGTTTATCACGTTGTCTGGGCATGCAAGAACCTCCCAGGACTGGCTCCAGTCGAGGAGCCCAAACTCGAGGAGTGGGAAGCGGGACTCAAGTACGCGACGGCTAGCGAGCAGAGGCTGCTCGTGGCCCGAGCACTCCGAGTTCACTCCGCACTTGGAGCCCCGGAATAGGGGCACACAACCACTCTCTCCTTTTTCTTCCCCTTACTCCCCTTCCCTTTCCTAAATCTTTCAACTCAATAAAGTTTTTCAACAACAACTACACTCTAAAAAATGCCTGCGCGTCTACTTACCCGCCAAACACTCAAAGAGCCAATCTCTGCGATTTACGAAAACAGCTCAGCGAATGATGAGGCGGAACACCTGTTTAGACCTCAAAATTAAGTCTGCGCTGTGGCATTGCGCAATGCAAAACGTCATGCTTGCATTGCGTGATGCCACAGCGCAGACTTCATTTTTAGGTCTAAACAGATGTTCCGCCTCATCATTCGCTGAGCTGATTTTGTAGATCGCAGAGATTGGCTCTTCGAGTGTTTGGTGGGTAAGTAGACGCCCTGGCATTTCTTAGAGTGTATAACCACACACAATTTTCCGGAAACAATATTTAATCGATGAACTGTCGAATCGATGGTGCTTATACTCCGTCCAACCACAGCCCACCCCACGATCCGATAAAACCAAGCAGACAACGTCCAAAAAGTGCAACGTCACGGCGGTCGTGCGTTCGTTGTCTTTGTAGTTTTGCTCTCACCGCCTAAACTAATCACGCACAGAAAAAAAAAAAGAACACAGGCCATGATGGCGGCCCTTTCATTGTGCATGATTGGTTTAGTTGGTGATAGTAAACGCACAAAGACGACAAGCGCAGTGACGATGCACTTTTGGTTCTGCTTCATTGGTTTCCCATGGGATGATATAGATCAGTGTCTGCTCTGTTTCATGGGTGTTGCCATGTTTGTTTATGCTGAAGCCATGACACAGTAGGAAGTGCTGCGCTTTTTGCAAGACTCCGTTTTTTTGTTTTTTTTAAACCTTCGCCCATATCGTAGTGCAAGACCGTCGGAATGCCTAGTCACGAAGCTCCAAGAACAACATCGATGCCGAGAATGCTGTAAAAAGCAAAAAAAAAAAAATCTTGTTTTGTACGGAGGCACTTTCTTCACAGAACCTGCATTTAAGATTATTGTTTCCCATCTTTATCGCTGGGGATTATAGGATTTCGGAAACTAGTCTGCTGCGCACTCATTGGAAGTGAAATGGAGTGAAGACCACTTTTCACTCTCCTGTAGCCTACCAGACGAGAATCACACGGCGTCTTGTTTTTCGCGCTTCGCCAGTCACTCGTTCTTTCCTCTTCGCGCGTATAGGGAGTATTCACTGGACGCCACATTTGTGGGTGCTGTTAAAACGCGCATGCTCAGAACGAGCTCACATCAATAGGCTGCTAAGACCGGCACCCTTGATGGTGCGGAATGCACGTTACAAAAGAACTGTGGAAGCTCGCTGTCAGCACGCACTCAGCAATCGCGCACAGAGCTATGGCCCGCCAGTGAATACTCACTATAAACAGAGGTTCGTACCCGTATCACTGTCTTGTTGTTGACGTTTAAAGCGGTTATCTTTCATCCTTCACCTTCCTTCACAGCAACCACAGTGCCTTTTCCCAGCAGCAGCGAAGTCCAAGAAAGAAAGCTGCTGGGGAGAGGAGCCTTATACACGAATCTCTACCGAATTCTATAATAAAGAAATATTGGAAAGTTATCGAAAACAAAGTAAATAGCAAGTCCTCAAACGAGCCTAACACTGAAGCATGGAACAGACTTTGCACTGAGTATAGCTGCCAGCCGCATGTCCGTCCAAAGGATGTTAAACGACTAAATAAGTGTTGGAAAAACGCTAAATTCAGATGGAAAGAAAGGTGACTCGGAGGAGAAGCGTGACATCCACGCAACTGGTGTGTAATTCATTTCTACTTTCAAAAAAAGAAAAACGCAATGCGTTCGCATAATCATGACACGATGTAACTTAAATTCTCCCAGTAAGGGAGAATTTAAGATAAAAAAAATCGATTTTAGTTGTTTTGCAATTTGCAAAGTTTCTTTCTTTCTGTGTATTTTCTATTATAACACTTTTCTTGAAAAGTTATATTTCCGCCTGAAAAAAAAATAGTTTTTTCTGAACGCCAGTAGCGGGTGGCCATGCCCCCTTTTGGATTGCGCTCCTTGTTTATTAATAAATTTTTCAACAAAAAAAAAAAATAACACCAGATTAAACAGGATAATCAAAATGAGCTACACCTTAAAAATGATCTTGCAACTATTGCAAAGCTTTTTTTTTTCACCAGGACAATCCCAAGAGGTTGTGCACGTTTTTTCCGCGAGTGTACATTCAAACGCATATGTTCTTGAACGACAAAATGGCGACATTAAGTGCTGTTCTTTCATTCCATGGTGGTAGCATCGCACGAGCCCATATGTTGAAGCTCTGTGGATTGAACCCTGGGTGGAACACCACTATGTGGCTGAACGAAGTTGACGTCACTCCAAAACACTTCGCCGACCGAACGACGCGACAGGTCACAAAAGAAGCCCGGCAAATAGGGCGAAATTCGAAAAGCGAATACATGACTCTAACAATGACTGCCAAGCTGGCGCATATTTAAGAAATGACTCTGAGAATGTTGGTCCCAATAACAACTTCTTATTCACTTGTGTTTTCACTTTTAATTAAATTATTTCGAAACTATTTTTTTTTTAGTACCTAGTACTATTATTTTCTTAACCTCCCAATATAAATCATTGATTTTTTTATTCCTGCCACTTACAAAGATGTTGAAAAGAACTGAACTAGAAATACAAATTTCACCCAACAGTCTTTGTTCTAGACATCTTTTAAAACAACCAGAGGGCTAAAATTTCAGAGCTTAAGAAGTGATAAAGATTTCAATTTTAGTTTGGTATTATTAGTTCTAGTTCAGTAGAAAAGGCGTCAAATTTTAAACAAAATTATATGAATATCAAGGAAATACTCCTATTCATTACAAAGAAAAATGTTCCTCAACATGGCCTAAAATGCCTACAGTATATAGGACTTAAAACCCTGTGCCCTTAAATGACTCTGCAGATGGATCTACTGCGACCACCTGCGGCGTCCGTAGGAGCGTACTTTGTCGCTCTTTCTGGTGCTTCTTGTGCTGATACCGACAACTTGTGTTTCATGGTAATAAAACCCGAAACTCAGGAACACAGAAGGGGACGAACACAACACAACGTCTCAAACACAGCTGAAGGTTCATTTGTCAGACACACGTTTAAAAAGGCTAAATGTTGTTCAACATTTAGGCGATTATTACACAGCGAACTTTCTGGTTGAGCTACACCAACCTGACCTGAGTTTCGACACTGTCTTGAGCAGATTGCGAGAAGCAATTTGAATGCATGAATAAAAACCACTGAAAAAACACGCACTATAGTACACGTATAAACTACGCCAAGCAACCAAGCACCTAATCTTTTTGCAGGCTGGATCTTTTTTTTTTTTTAAACTTGTGTTTCTTGCGTATTACTGGTTGAATTGAATGACATATTTCATTTTTTAACTGGGACTCTCTCGCAACAGTCATTACAGAGAGTATTCACCTGCGGCTTATTTGCGAGTTGTGTGCGATGCGTTCTGTGTACAAAGCCATTTTTCGGCACTTGACAGCAGACAGCAGCGCCAAATCTTTTTCTTCTTTCTGCAATACCGGAGCTAGCAGCGCCACTATGGTGTAGCGGGTGATGGTCAACTGCCGCACCAAGTCGCAGCCGAAGAAGGAAAAAGAGGAGAGCAAGCTTGCAAACTCCGGTTACTTCAAGATTCTTATATTACATCACACGAATGTCATGCAGTAAAGGCAAAGGCATGAGCGCGTGAGCCCAGCTCAGCAGAACTCTTTTGTTTGTATAAAGACTCGTGCATAAGATGCGCTTTCTAAAGCCACCCGCTCGTGCCCATGCCTTTTTCTTCACTGCATACATTTATGAGATGGAGCATAAAATCCCAGCACAGGCGTGTGGTAGGGCACGGTCGCCCTCCGTGAGAAGGCAACGCGAATGGCTTGCGCGAATCAACCGGAATGTTCTCGACGAAGACGTCGACAAGTACCTATCTGTTCAAGGCTCATCATCTCGGGTAAGTGTCAGCACCGTTTGCATTCGTCAGACATCAGTGGAAAGATTTCCGCAAAACTATGCCCGTCGCCCGTCGTTGCAGCTCATCGCGTCGTGCGTCGCATATGGTTTCGACGGACCGAGCGACCGGGGGTCCTGTCACGTCGCCGCGAGCCGCACTTTAACACGCAAAGAACCGCATGCAGCTCGCGAGCCACAGCTTGGTCACCCCTATGTACAGTTGTCTTGCTTCAGGTTGGAGCGATACAGCGCTTTTTAAGTAGAAAATGCTACACTGATTTGTATAGCGGTCGATCACATAAATTCTCTGACCGCAGTTCTTGGCGGAAAGTACTGCGTGGGATAATATTGCTCAAGATATAGACACACGGCTCTCTCTCATAGCCGGATAATGTCTTTCCTAGCGCTTTCAGAGTTCCTGTTAGGTGGCTCCCAGCATCAGTTCAGGTGATACGGGTATGCCGTATACGGTATGAACCTTTCATGCTAGCTGCATTTTGATGCTGCTTAATGCCGAAGCCTACAGCTTTGTGTACGGTGTGTTTTTGTGGGATGCTTCCTGCATTATTGTTTACTCATGTGGACCCTCCAGCCAAAGTCCCACCTTAGATATAAACACCAAAAACCAACACCGGCCAGCCCCACTAAGCGACAAATCTTGACGAGCAGAGTACACTTGCCATCCACTTTGCCGAAGACGCGACAACACATGCAGACATAAAAAACAGTAAACGTCCGGAACTGTTGTCAGAAACCAATTGTACACATAACTAGGAAAAACAAAATGAAAAGACAGAACTGTAAGCGAGGCTGGTGCACCAATTATGGGTTAGGTTCAGAGTAATATATACTTTTCCTCTGGACTTTTGGCTGTCCCTGGACTGATCAGAGGCGTCATGAGGTAGGTAGTGCAGGCATAGACTGCATCTCTAGCAGCACTCCGAGCACACGCCCATGCTCGTAGAGGACGCCTGCACGACTCTTGTCAAAGATTTGACCGTCTTGCACGGAGCTTGGCCAGTTGGCCACGATGTCATCAAATTGGAGGTGGGGTACCCTGATGGCTTCAGTGGGGGAAATGACCAGCAATAGGAGGAGCAGGCTGCGGTGGTATCGAAACATACACAAAGTTTTAGATACACGTATACTCTTGCGAGTAAGTGCACTTGCCAGTCTAGCAAATGAAGAGTTAATGGCACAAAAGTTTGTGTCTCGACTATTTTATGCGGATATAGCGAAGCATGAAGAGGAATTAATCCTTGCTTTCTAAAATCGATTAGACGTTCATTTCCATATTTGATAACAATGCGAGATTTTCAATTTAATCAGATGAATTTAGTGAAAAAGTATGAATATGTTAAAAGTTTGTAATGGTTCTGTGACCCCAGGTTTTGTTTTGAACCACATTTGATGTATATTATTCTTTGAAATATGATAGCTACATCCCCCAATAGCTTGAGCATTTATCACATCTTTGGTGTAAGCACCGTATGGTTCTGCATTTCTTTGGGTGGGTACAACAATTCTTGGCTTTGAAGCCCGACCAATGTAGTAGAGATACGATATAGATTATTAAATAGTCAAGTTTTATGCTTTATGAATGTCGTTTTTAATTTAATTGTCTGTCGGCTCATTGAAAGGAATTTACTTTTACTGTGCCATATTTCTCTGCCTTAAGAAGTGGAACGCTAGTCGGTGGGGTATTCCTTGTTGCATTTGAGTAAAAGCGTGACGTTCCCGGCTGCAGAAACAATCGTCACATGCAGATTTTGTTTTACTTTTTTTATAACGTTCTGTTTTATAACGTCAGAATATTCTTTACTTATTTGTTTTATGGTAAGGGCCCCAACAAATATTAACTTTCTTGCACGTTGGTGGAGGAGTATCCCTTTCTGTGGCGGTAGACTTCGCCATCAGGACCTCCAGGTCCCTTGGTTCTTACGTGCGTGCATTCAATGCACCTAGTCACGCCAAGGGAGTTCTTCAGCGCATGTCACTCTAACATCACACAATCAAAGCCCGTCGCGCAGCTGGGGAACTTCACGAGCCGTCGAAACAGGGTGCCGTCGATGAGTCGCGACATCCGCTCGACAACCCAACACACTGACGGCTGCGACACGTCGACGACGTCGCCGATGACGACCTGGAGTGTCCCATGTTGCGTAGAATCGCGGCTCTATTAGAAGCTGGGACATTGAAGGGACCGGCAGACCGTGATTGCTCGCACACTCCTCCAGCAACAGGGACTCCGGGAGGCTTGCCACTGCTCTTTGGTGAAGCGGTAGCGCACGAAACATTCGCGGTCGTTGAACACCTCTTTAAGTCGAGCAGTTCCTTCAAACAACTCCGTGGCACTAGGACTCTTTCATCTTGGCGGTCGTAGAGGAGTTCGTCGGCTCTCATGACCGACTTGATGAACTCGCAGGAATATATGTCGGCCGCCATTACCTCCAGGGACGAACTAGAGCTTTGAGGGGCGGCTCGAGTAAGTGTAGGAGGAATACATTGAGATTCTCGAGGAAAAAGTCGAGTATTTCCTCGAGTCGATGAGTGTTTGGTTTTGAGGTCTGTTTATGAAGCGCAAAACCGACCTCGAGTGGAGCTTCGAGTCCAGGTCGAGTCGAGGTCGAGTCGAGTTCGAGTCGAGTTCGAATCAAGCTCGAGTCGAGTTCGAGTCGAGTTCGAGTCCAGGTCGAGTCGAGGTCGAGTCGAGTTCGAGTCCAGTTCGAGTCGAGTTCGAGTCGAGTCGAATTCGAGTCGAGTTCGAGTCGAGGTCGAGTCGAGTTCGAGTCGAGTTCGAGTCGAGTTCGAGTCGAGTTCGAGTCGAGTTCGAGTCGAGTTCGAGTCGAGTTCGAGTCGAGTTCGAGTCGAGTTCGAGTTCGAGTCAAGTTCGAGTCGAGCTCGAGTCGAGGCCGAGTCGAGCCCCGTTAAATTCGGCTGTTAGACAACACCCCTTTGCTGCGTGGACGGAGTTTTTTGCCTTTTGCGTACGGAACCCATTGACATGCAGCTGTAAGGCCGCAATTTTTTAAATCTTCCGAATGGTGGGGGTGGTAATTTTTCCATAGTCACTACAAGGATCGGAACTACAAAGAGGTTCTTGTCCCCGCCTCCAACGCAAGCTTGTAGCCTTCGACAACAATTCCGGGTCTCGTGAGCTTCGAACGTGCATGCGCCGCCAAAGCACCATGGAAGGCAACGGCGCGTGCTGGGGGCCCCGCACCCGAAAGTGACGCCCGGTCTTTGTCGTCCTGTCAGTGATTATAGACAATGCGCGGGTTGTTGACACTTACCTCGATCATGTGCTAATAAAGTCTGCAAGTTATTTTAATTTCTCCCCATGTGATAAAAGGAGGACACTACAGGATGTAATTCATATTATATACTGCGAATTCTGACACTTCCTTAACTATACGAGAGATGACTCTGAGTAATCCACCTCCGTGGAAAAGGGTAAATTTTAGGATTTATTTTACAAGTAACTATACATTTGATCATGACAGTGCATCTTCGGCTCCCGTTGTGCCTAGGGCTGGTACGTTTATTTAAGCAAAACTCGGACGCATCTTCAACCGTGAACATTGTGGCCGCAGCTGTTTACGCTGCTTCCGACCCATTGTTTTGTCATGTCCCGCAGAACCTATGACTACGCGCATAAAGCATCACAAAAGGCTAGCATCCATTTCTTCTGATCAGCACATGCTCATGTTTTCCATTTCCGAAAGTTATGACTGATTTTCGGATACCAGAGAAAAACCTGTATTGATTTGCGGAAGGCTACATTCCCAAACAGAGCAAACACTATGGAAGCAGAGCTAGATATGAGGCTAGTATAACTTTAATGTAGAGACTTTTGAATATATTTTACAAGCTGCGCAATAGCCTCCAAAGTTGAGACTTTAAGATTCCAGAAAAAAAAAACAAAAAAACAGACAGTTTCGCGTTATGCCATGCCGGAGCAAACTCGGTTACTCGGTTTTTCGGTTACTTCTTCGGTTTTTAAAGTATTTTACAAATATAGTTTAACAGAAGAAAAAAAAAATGCCTTCCACAAAACTGAAGGCATCGGGGAGGAGCCCTAAAAAGCTATAAAGAGTCACACTTCATGGCGCTGTCACTGTATAATACATGATGCTGCTTCACCCCCAGGTGAAAAAGAAAGAAACGTGGGAGCGCGAAGTAGAAAGTAATAACAGTCGCAATTGTCGTCTTGTGCTGCGGATTTTAGTCCTGTGCGGGGGGTGTCTCCGTTTCAAACATCGGATTTTCGAATGTAGAACTGTTCTTGCTCTCCGGGCCAAACTCCGGGAAGCTCTGAAAAGAAAAAAAAAAAAAAAAAAAGTATGAGCAAATTTTACATGACTAGTCTGGTTAAGCTGTAGGATTTCCCTTGCTGCTACCTGCCTCGGAGAATGTCACAACGCACTTGTTCAACAACACGTAGTCAGGTATTGGCTGTCACCGCCGCGTGCGCCCCTACCCATATGACTTCCCGCGCATCCTTTTGCGATGGCATTCTACCAGCGAAGGAGCGCGGCGGCGCGCGCAGTCGGTTACACTTGGTTGCCACGCGGTAGAGGTATCCAGAGATAGCTTAACATCCGGGCATCCTGGTCCAACGCTTCGTGCCACCAGGACGCCCACAAGGTCCAACATATCGAGGCATGTCGCATGCAACAATTGGACATTACTTCTAGAGAAATATTAAAGCTATATGTTACACGCGGCCCGACGTAACCAATGCCTGCATGTCAGCCTTGCCATGGCATTCATGGGTGCATGGCCTTTCAAATCTTCTTTTATGAACAATACATAACCTTAAGGTGGGTAAATGATCATCGTACGTTTTTTTTTTTTTTGTTTTATGGTGACTACTTCTGAAACAAAAGCATGAGATATGTATAATGTGAAATATTACGTGCGAGGAACTTTTCAATAATTAGCGTGCACCAACAATACGTTCTATACGACACCGCAACATGATTCAGAGGTTATGGTTGCGTCGCACTCAAAGTTCTGAGCTTTCACTGACTATGTCGAGTTTTGTTTCGAACATTGATTCTTAGATCAGCTATGATCTAAGAATCAACGCTTGTCGGAGAGATACAATCCACTACTGTTCTTATTCAACCTATTTGTTTCTCCAAAGTACCGCAGATCGAGCCTCCAGGCCGAACTTTTACTGCCTATTGTGAGTGACAGGAACGAAACGGCAGAGCGTCTTTTTCAGATGCCAGGCTTCAAGCACGCGCTTCCCTAGTGAAAAATCATATATCTATACGACATTTTGGCAGACATTTTTTGGGTTTAATAAACGCATATGTTGCCTTCCGCCGTGCTTTGGTCGCGCGTGCACACTGGATGCTCACGAGCCACCGAAGTGTTAAAAAAGATAAGACGCTCGCGCCAATGGCGGGACAATCGAAAGACCTTCCTGCCATTCTCATCATGTCAGTGACTCTAGTACCCGTTGCAAAAAGAAGATACTGCTGTGATTGGACAGCGGCTTGGAGCTGGCCGATCGTTGCAGGCATATAGATGTCCCGGTCTATCTTTCCCCCTAGGTCACTCCGTGTGGATTAGGGCCCCATATGTACCTTGAAAGGTCCGCCTCCTATGAGAGGGTTCTCGAACCCATCAGTGCCCATGGGCACAAGGTCGTCGTGGGGTGTCGTGCCCAGTTCTAGTTCGACTCGTCCTTCGTCGAAGCGTGCCAGTGGAAGCAGCCTCTCCAGCTGCCGACCCCTAAGACGAAACGAAGCCACATATCTTATCATTGATACAGCTTAAGAAATTCAAAGAATGCTTTATTATGCTAACGCTTCTGACTTCGTGATTTGTTCTTCGGCGTACTCAGTGACCAACATCGCCATCTCATGGGTTCCGGAGCTATTGTGAGATTCTTGGTGCTCGTGCCCCGAGTTTTTTCAGTTCCAATTACTAGAGCCACTAAATGAGCTGCGCTTAGAGTATCGGCACTTTGTTTCCCAACATTATTGCAGGCACCGACATTTTGGGGCTTGTGCGGAGCAGACGCAACTGCCGATCGTTATGATTCAAAAGTGCGACTTCCTCAGCACTACATTCGGTGTTAGGAAGCTCATTTAATATTGCTTTTTTTTTGTCGCGGGCTGTTTAAACATTTGTGGAGGGCGGAAAATCGTTTCCTGTAATTTCACATAAATCTTCAGATAACTGGAAACCATGATTTCAAGCCAGAATATGAACAAGTGTCGTTACTCTGAAGCGTAGCTTATTTAGTGGCACTATCAATTACTCTATAGACCAACTCGCCTCTTTCACGTCACGTCACTGCCGTGGCGCTAAAGTTGTCAAACAGATTTAGATATAACTTCATTACTTGAGAAGAAAGGTTATCGGCCGTTACTTTTTCCGATTACTTCAGATTTTCAAGACCACGGATTTTTCTGCCGGTTTGAAAACGTGTCTTTCGTAATGTACATTAATGGGCTAGAATCACCGAACTACACGGCGTCTCAAATAGTGACAAAAAAAAACGGTTTCTTCACCTATCGCGATACACTTTTGTGCCCACATGTGGTGTATTTTTTCAATAAAATTTGCAAAAAATCTTGAATAAGTAAAAAAAAGGCTCAACTCCTATAAAAATGCACCGAAGACACCGGTCCTCAAACAATAGTGCGCCCTATTGTTTCAAGACCAGTGGCTCACTCCGAAATATTACAGCTCACCTGTAGAGGGTGAGGGGTAAGCGCGGCCTCTTCCACCACAAGAAGATGATCAGGGCGAGGATCAGAAGAGCCAGCACAATGCCGCCGACAATGCCCCCAGCCGAAGAGCCTGCGAATAGTGCCCGTCTTTTTTTCCCCATGAAGCATCGACTTCCACACCCGTGTACACACTCAAGTTGTGATCACACCGCTAATACATCATTGAAAGTACACTCTCCAGACACTAGTTGAGGCATGCTTCTTCTTTGTACGACGCTCCTCTCAAGGTGGTGGTACAAAACCTGTCATACATGTTCGAACCAGGCATATGTGTGGAGCAGACATGCTTCGAAAAGAATTGAAGCGCGTCAGCAGATAATGTGGAGCGCCAGTTCGTCTGCTTCTTTTTTCGGGGGCTCTGGTGACGTCAGAGTGCCGAGCTCTGATTGGCTTCGATTGAAGGACAGTGGGTAGACCTCAACGGAAACTGTCTTGAGGTCTACCCATTATCCTCCGGTCGGAACCAACCAGAGCTCGGCGTTCTGACGTCACCACAACCTTGCAAAAGAAGCAGACGAACTTCCGCTCCGCAAAGACCGATCTCACAGCCAGTTTCAATACGCCACCGCTGCCGGCATGCGTCGTGGGAACTGTAGTATTCCTACTGCACGCGTGACAAACCCGCTGACGTACTGCGCGAGCAGAGCACGAGGCGGCACGAGACATGTCTCGTGAACTGACGACTGTCTCCTACAAAGTAGAGTTACGGACCCAGGCGAAAATTTTCAACTGGGACCAGTTGGTCCCAGTTGCAACTGGTTTATGGAACAATTCCCAGTTGCAACTGGTCCCAGTTGGAGTCGTCCAACTGGAACCAGTTGGTCCCAGTTGCAACTGGTTTATGGAACAATTCCCAGTTGCAACTGGTCCCAGTTGGAGTTGGTCCCAGCTGGAATTGGTCCCAGTTACAACTGGTCCCAGTTGGAGTTGGTACCAACTCCAGCAACAATGAAACACGGCACAAAATGGAAGGTTGACAATACTTTATTGTCAAAAACTTGGAGAATGAAACTAAATAGGTTCGGTGACGTACACGCTCCGGGTTTAGCCACTTGCTTGCAAAGGTTGAATCGCTTTTTCAGAGGTGGTATTCATGAGATGAAGGAAGATCGGCCGCTGGCGTCTGTTAGTAAAGACGTCCTCAGCTTCTCTTCCCATCGCGTGAAGGAAGGTGCTCACCCGTGATCCTGCGTTGCGCAGGTGAAGTCCTGATAAGATGCGGTAGCGCTCCCACCTCGCGATCTCTGTCACAACAGTCGAACATTTTCGAGGTAGACCTCCCGCCATTTTCGCCATTGTGCTCTCCGCGGCGTGTTCTGTTCCGTCCGGTCTATGTGCGTCCGGTCTTTCCTGGGTGCCCTCCGATCGCTGAACTGCATCTTTCCACCCTCGAAGTTCACCGCCGCCACCGTGGTGTGTGTACAGTTAGGTCCAAAGAAGCGCAGCTGTAGTTTTGACATTTTCATAACGACGCCAACTTGGGCGATGGCGACCCTTCTCTACCGCGTCCGTCCGGTCCGTCCGACTCCGGCAACTCCGGCCTCCGGCGTCAGCATAGGCAGCGCCATCTGTCGACAGCGCGTACCACTAATCCGCACCCGCGTGCCACGGCTATCCACGGCGGCCGGCTAGCTCTGATTAGTCAAAAGATAAATTTATTTATTAAAAGAAAAAAAAAAATACTGTAGGTATTTAAATAAATGTTTTAATATATTTTAATAATGCACTAAAAGTGTAAATGTAGGTGAACACATTTTGTCACTAATTATATTTTCCAATTAAAACAATTATTTAGTTAATTAAAATTTTTATATTATTTTTATAAATATATAAATGTACCCCAGTAATTAAAATTCCCTATTTGTATAAATCCAAAAATGTTAGTGTTTTTAGTTTTCTTCATTAGCAAAGGTCAATACACCCCCAACTTGTCCAAATTGTTGCCCAGTGTGAACTGGGAACGGGAAAGGCATTTGAAGTCCGACTGGGAATCGCTCCAACCAGTTACTTTCCTAACTGGTTCCAGTGCACTCCATTCCCAACTGGGAGTCAAACCAGTTGACTCCCAACTGGGAATGGTTCAAACCAGTTGACTCCCAACTGGGAATGGTTCAAACCAGTTGACCCCTCAGCTGGCCCCAGTTGGACTCCTATTGGTCCCAGTTGATTCCCAGTTGGGACCAGTTAGTCCCAGTTGATTCCCCGTTGGGACCAGTTAGTCCCAGTTGAAACCAGTTGAGGTGCCAACTGGTCCCAGTTAGAAATTTTCGCCTGGGGAGACGTCACGCACGCGTGGAACGCGTGCGTGACGCGAAAAAGAAAAAGGAGTAGGGGTGGAACGGTCATTTATTGAGATCCTCTGACGGTTATGCTTTGGTAACGCAATAGAAAATAGTAAACACACAGAAAATGCACGTGTTTCCCGGCCATTTTATCCAGTGTGCTTTCTCGACGAAAAAGTTTTAAAATATTTTAAGGCACAAGGTCATAAGCAGTGGCAAGTGCAGGGACCAGCTTATGGCACCAAAGCGCGTCGCGAAAGAATTAAACGTACCGGACGTCGACCCGATGCCTCCTCCAGTCGCAGGGTTCTTCCAGCTTTGACTGCCACTCAAGTTGGTGTTGCTCACAGCGTATTCCAAGCCGGTGGCCCCTGTTAAAACCACACCCACCAGTGCAACCGCCAGTGCGCTGGGCCGCTTCACTTGGTGAACAGCACAGACTACATATACTGCCAAAGCATGGTGCATGTCGTCGTCTATCAACTTAAAAATTTAGAATCAAACAATCGAACACCGCAAAAGCCACGGGGGCACACTCTCCTAGTACGTTCGTGAATCCAAAACACCTGGAGAACGCAGTGTTAGTGAAATCTCCCTCACCTACCTAATAAACGTCAACGGACTTTCCACGACTTCATAGCTCCTCGACATGCTGACTGGACAGTAGTTGAAGGGAAGGATATCACAACGATCGCGCCCAATTAGTGACTCGAGATTGGGCAAAGTCCCAGACGTTTTATAGTCAGTCATGAGTGTATAGGCCTCGAGTTATTAGAGAGTTTTAGGGAACCGGAACAAAATACGATCGATAAACAAAAACGATCGATACCTTGGATCGGGCGTGTGGACCGATCATGTGCCCTGAAACGGCTTTGGGGGAACCGTATTTGCAGATTATAGCAGACGATCGGTACAGGTCGCGCCCCCTGGCAACGGAAACCTGCATCCGCCTCATCGAGAAAAGACAAATTTGCGTGTTTGTACAAATCGCAGAAACTTAAGTAAATAAAGATCGCACCCTAAATATATAGAGAACCTAAAATATTGTATACCTACTTATAGTTCGTCTCGTTTTTTTACTGGAATGAATGCGCTTCCGTAATACAAAACCTGGCGCACCACGGCGTGTCGCCCCTAGCGCAGCGAAGCTGTAAAATGTTCGTCTGCTAAAGAAGCAGACGAGCTTTCCGACGACAATGGCGCTCGATCTTTCTGACCATGACTTGGAGTTGCCTCTATTCAGCGAAAGCAATTTAGAAAAAGTGATTTTGTACGACTGTCTGCGCACTAAGCGTGGCGTGAGTCTCTTTTGAACTTCTCGCTTTCTATAAGCGAGGCACGCACGCGCGTCCCGTGGGGCCCGTGACTTGTGCAGGGGCACGAGGGAATAAACATTCTTTTTGGTTTGCCGTGACACGGAGTCAGTCGCATTTCTTTGGGGTGCCACCGAGCACCGATACACTAAGAGAAGGCGCTTGTTGGCGGCAAGGCATAGGACGTTCAACTTGGCGTAGCTTTTGAGTAAACAAAAAAGTTGTGATACCAGGAATGATGTGCGGATACCACGAATGATGTGCCAGCGTATTTTGGGTTTTTGTTTCTTTCAGTTTACCAGATTTATATACTTGGGGAATAAAATAATGCCTCGACCGTACATGGTAACTTGTTTTCAAATAAATCATGCGTTCTCAGCGGGCAAACTTCGGTGTTTTACATCAACAAATATGATGTTTACACCAACCACGTCCTGATATGCTGAAACGTTGCCGAAAGCAAACTCGATTTGGCACAAGAACACGCTCGCGCGCGCTTATCATCAACATTCGAAGTCGTCTGCTAGCGATCCTGTCTTTTTCCCTCGAGGCCCAATGCAGGATCGAGTATTAAGAAAGCTATGGACAAATAAAACTAGAAATATTAAATCTCGAAGAAAATACAAAAATAACCAAAATATACTCACTTTCTCAAGTTGATGCGGTCATTTGTCTTGAACAAAGCTAATTCAATTCAATTTTCAATTCAATTTTCAATTTAATTCAATTTTTATTTTAAGATCAAGTCATACAAAATAAAGAGCTGGCCCACAAAAGCAGCATTCTGTTTGTATGTGGGGCCAGGCGACCAACTACAATACATGTTGTTACAAAAAAAAAAAAAAAAAAGACACTCCGCAGCACAAAAAAAAAAATGAAAGGAGCACAAAAGTAGCAGCACAAATAAATACAAAAAGGAACACTTTAGAGCATGAAATATAGGTGTTTATAGCCAAGTCTACTCACGCAACCATGAAATAAAAGTACGAAATATCTCCAACGGTTAGGCTACGATATCTACAGCTCAAATGCTTGACACCAATTCCTTAATTTCCTTTTTAGTACCCTAGTGGATTCAATATTCATAAGGGACTCTGGGAATTCGTTACTTTCCATACAGTGTGTATATTTTTGAAATGACGTATCTTTCAGTACGTCTTAAATCTCTATTTTTATTTACGAGGAGGTCAATCCGTTCCTTCGCTCCTCGCAACGATAAGCTCTTTTTCAACGCTGCGTCATTCCAAAGTGCTGGAGCGAAAAAGGAGTAGCGCCTAGCAGCTCCTGAAGTAGAACGATGTTGTCTACTACTTTAAATCGCTTGCGAGGAGGAGGCGGAGGGACGGAGGTAGATGCGGCGCTCATGTTGCTCTCTTACGGTACAGATAGCAGACGATCACGGTCGTACGTCCGCGTACCGATCGTTGCGCCGTGTACGGTACGACCACGAAGAAAATATAAAGGAAAACCTGTAACTTTACTGCTGTGGACTTATTAAAACTATCACCAAATATTCAAAGGGCTCGTTTTATAGGATATATGTGATTAGCATTTGTACAGAAATTTTTAATTCATGCAACATTTTTAAACTAAAATGTATCCAGAGCCTTGATGCAGAAGGCTGTTTGTTGCACACTCTGGTGCCACTACAGATAATCCTGTCATAACAGCAGCTGTAAAATACGGGTGATAAGTGCTCAAAATGCACATCCAATGTTTGTATAAAAAAAAAAAAAAACTTATAATATGTAAAAAAAAAAGAAAATAAAAAAAAAAAGTTGCCAGCGGGATTTGAACTCTCCACTACCCGTCCTCTACGAGCTCAAGAAATCGGCGCTCCAATCCACTGAGCTACCGAGCACACGAGTTTTGGTTGCACTAAACACAAACTTATTTCTATCGAAAAAGTCCTATTGCGTTTTGTTCTTTATTCTCTTTCTTTTTTGCTGACTCAAACTTTATGGACTTGCTGTCACACATGGCGCTCCTGCCAGGCACTGCCACGAGTTATTTTATTCATGTTTAGAGCCACGGCACGCTCTCTCCGCCAGCGAAATAGCCGTTTTGCTAACGAAGCGAGACTGTCCATGTCGGCCATTGGTCGTGCCGGTCGTGCCTTACGGTTCCACCAGCGCATTACGGTAAGATCGCAGAAGACAGGCGCATGCGCAGTTCGTACCGGAGGGCCCATCGTACCGTATCGGATGTGCAAAAACGGTTCCCTAAAACTCTCTATTAAGACGGGGATACCGTACATATTTGGCCCATCCCACAAAATTCTTTAAGAGCGGTACGTTGTTTCATTTTTCTATTGCAGCCCAACACACCTGAAGGCACTATGTAAAGGCAAAAAAGAATTGAAGACGTTCTTATTCAATTTCATAGACAATCCTAGTGTCGCATTCTAGGCGGTCCGCGGTCGGTGAAGTCATCGAAGGAATCAATGCGCCTGGGAACCTTGGCACTTTTCTAGCGCTAGCGCTGACCTCCGTGTCCTCAATGAGTAGCTTTTCGTGAACATTTTGACAGCCATATAATCTGACAGCAACATTTTTCAAGGAAAAAAGTAGTTAATTTTAAGTCTGAATATTGCCAGAAACATTTTTGAGCCCTGCAATTTTACAGAACTATAACTCCCTTCAACAACAATCGACAGTCAGCCGCTATTGAGAAGTACAAGCTTTTCGTCCATCAAACCGGCCCTGTAGATGCTTCCTACACTCAGATCCCCGCTTGTATATCAAGCTTGCTGTTTTCCAGAGATGGGTGGTAAGCCTTATCACTGGTAAAAACCCAAGTTGGGAGAACGGACCTCGCATAAGCAAGGAAGTGATCCGGTTCCTGCTATTGTAACACTGCGATATCAGAAGAGAGCTGTTGATACATGCAAAAACACGCCAGCTACTATATCGGACAATACTTGAATAATAATTGCCGTAAAATTAATAGCTGCAATGCTGACCATTACCCAGACCTGGAGAACACTGCACCGTTTTGTATCTTAGTCAGCCAGTTTTTTTGTTTTTTTTTTTCTCAAATTCATCGCTGAAGCGTCGCCTTCTGACAGACGTTGGTATGACAGGAATCGGGCACGGACGTCCACCCACCATTGAGCAGAGCCGCCAGTTCAGTGGCGAGCTTGTGCGCTTTCCCCGGTGTCGCCGGCCGAGAGGTGTCCGATGGAGAGAGGTCTGACAGCACAGCCTGCAGCCTTCCATCCCATGTGCGGTGAAGGTATGCCTGAATAATCCCGCTGAACTGCGCCTGCGCAACACCATTCCCGTTGTCAAGTCCAAGTTGTAACCATGTAGTGAGCTTGGGAAAGAACTCCACTCGCCAACAGCTAAGGGAGCTAGGATTGTATAACTTTTACGCGCGAACATCGGAGACAAGGCATCAATACCCAGTACTGAGTCCATCCGACTAAACATGATGTGACTCGAGCCAACATTGTGTTACTGATTCGAGAGTCCCGTTTGTGTGGCAGGAAGACTGATATAAAAGGGCAAGGGGGGTGGGGGTGCTTGGTCTAGATATTGGCATTATTATGTCCGGGCACCATCAAGAAAGAATGACCGGACTTCATGGCATTTCCAACATGTCCGACGTCTCACCCATTAATTAATCTGCTATTAGTTTCACCGAATTTCAATTGCCCTTTTTCTCCCCATGACCCCCCCCCCCCCCCCCCCCCCGCCACCCCCGGTTTCACGTACTGAGAAGTTCATCATTCCTTCTTACAGGCAAAACTGAGTATTTTTATTCATGTCCTGCTGTCCGTCTGCTACGCTTTGATTGAACAGCTAAAAATGTTCAACTGATCAATACCTAGACGCCACGAAGCCAGAGACACTGTATGAGGTTCCAAAACGGCTCTGCAGCGTTTCACTGCTGACATCTGCCGGTATCGAAGTGAATTCCGAGAGCGGAGGCAACGCAGTGCCGATTAGAAGAGGGTCTTACCTTGAGGACCTTTTCTTCGAAGAAGCGGAGCAGTGTGGAGAATCGGAATCCTGAAGATGGCCTCATCACGAGCATTGACACTGGAAACCAGATGGCGTCATAGAGAGGATTGTCTCTGTATTCATTTTATTCACCGGACTGCTGTTTGTACACGCTTGTTTTATGTTACTATAAGCAACCTCAAAAAGAGAAAATTTAAAATTAATATGTTGAAACATAATTAGGGTAAAATGACATCCTACGCTTTAGAAAAGTTCCTTGTCCGTCTACTAGCTCATAAAAGCACTTAAAAAGCCAATTATAGAAGCCAAGGAAGTAAGCTTGCAGCATGATGAGGTCGAATATATTTTTAGACCTAAAAGTACGCCTGCGGTGTCACATTGAGTATAGTGACACACTGGTGTACACGTCTTTGCTGGAGTCACGTTGCAGACTATTTTTATATTTAAACATATTTTCTGCCTGGTCATTCGCCCAGGTATCCCCATATATCGCAGTGGTCCGATCTCCGATTGTTGTGAGGGACAGTAGGCGTACAGGGTAGCTCCTAACAAAATTGGAGTTTATGTTTACCCTTAACGAGGGCCAATATAGGTGCAGATGATGGTTATGACCAACGAAATATTGCATTGAAAGAATCTTGATGTATACTTTAACCAAAAATGACTATTGGGTGGGTGCAAGGAATGTTAAGGCAGAAAAATCGCGAAGGGTAATACTATTTTACGATGTCTTACTCGGCCATGATCAATTCGAGAATATTTCAGTGAGTATAAGACCTCAACTTTCGTTATAAATATAAGCAAAAGACTCACTGGAATGTGCGTCATTTCTGGGGGTTACACCTTAAAACAACCGCGGTCAGTTTTCGATAACTCACCACAGATGGGGCAGCAGTTTCCAAGTGGCGTTACTGGGTCATTGCAGGGAAGCTCGTGGGGACATTTGGGAGCGTGCTGAAGACATATCCTCTCGAGTGGCTGCAAAGCCAAGTAAAGACTTAAGTTTTTGTAAGACTTAAAAAAAGAACATCATTGCCTTCTCTCGGTTACTGTGTCATAGTTTTTGTTTTTTGTTCTCCTCAAATTTGTTCGTCCCAGGGTTTAGTACGTCGCTTCCGTTGTGAGACTGAAGAAGATGGGAATAGCAGTTGTACTGCACTGACGAAAAGTTCCATCTGCAGTAAAGACATCAGACGCCTCTTCCGGCCTCCCACGATCTGGGTATTCACAAACAAATTACATAGTTACTTACACTACCGCCACACTCTAAAACCTAATGCCAGTTCTTTCAACTGACGTTCAGTGATCGACGAGTCAGCTTTTGATCATGACGACCAGTGACACGGTGCACTGCGCTGCACAAGCAATGGCGTGCACTGACTGGCCAATCAAATAATGTCAGTAAATGTAACAAACATTACATTTTACCGTGTCGCATGGCTGTAACTTGCTAAAAACATTTGCCAGCAATTTACAAGGCCAGAAGGTTTTTTTGATTCGATAGTAAAAGTCTTCTGACCGAGTGCAAAAGACTAAAATATGATAAGGGCAGCTGGAAGTAGTGATTTATGTGTTGGAATAAACCTGGCCAAGGATTTCGGAACGAATAGGCGCAATGACCCTCACATGTGATTCGATTAAACGCGAGGTAGACTGTACCTCGGGGCGGTCATTTCCGCAGGCGCATCCGGCCGGGTCCGTGCAGTCGGGAGTTCCACCCGTAACGTCCCCCGCGAACAGTTCCTTCCCAGCGTCAGTCTCCAAAAATGCAGCGAGAGCCGTTCCATCGTACAACTGCACCCGCGACAACCATCACCACAAGTATCATCACCATCATCATAAACATCGTCGTCGTCGTCGTCATCGCCATCATCAGTATCATTGTAACCATTATCATTATCACACTTATCATCATCATTATCATTATTTTATTCAGTCGGTCTTTAAAGGATTAATTGTTTTTTTGTTTTATAAGCTGACAACCATTTAGATTCGACAAAACTACTCTTTCCCAAAGTACCGAACAAAGAAAGAGTCAAATGGCACTTATACAGTCTCATAAGCACGATATTATCTCACGATACACTCCGAATGTCAATCATTCATTCCCTCTAATAATTTGGGTGAGTGAGAAGGGCAGTCGGTCTCATTCCGCACTCACCAAATGCCTCTGAGATTGCCTTTCCGTGAGAGCATGACACCGGTCATGCCTCTCACGGAAACCCTTCACATTGGCAAAACTGGCAAGAAGGCAGACAAAATGAGTACTGTTCTAATGTCACTACGGCATAGTGCGCACGAATACACTCCCGATAATTTAGCCATATGGCTTTTTACCGTTGTCCTTGATACCTTCGATACTCACCGACAACTTAAGAAATGCAGGGCGCGGCTGACTAGGTTCCTTTTCATTCACCTTTCTGTTTTTTATCAGCTAATGCCGCCATCTTACCCGCCCTAGAGAGATTATAAGATACTCAGCACGTCCTGGAGCTCTTAACCTGTCAATACCTCCAAAAAAAAGCACAGCCCTAGTTTTGATCAAACAGCGAACCGATTCATATTCACTCTCCGGTTCACGAAGCAGCAAAATGCAAAATATATTCTTGAATTTGTCATCATTACTATGACATCACCATCACCCCGTTTTCTCGTAAATCCGACCGCTGCCGACGCTGCCATTTGAAAGATTCAGTCAAGCGGCGTCAAAATCACATCGTCACTGCCCTCGACCTTTTTCTTTTCTTTTTATTTTTGTTCGTTGGGAATTACCGGTTAAATCGATCATGTGCATAACAAAGAGCGCGAGACCACGGCATTTTCACTGTACGTGATTGGTTAAGTCGGTGATTGTAAACGTACAAAGAAAAAGTAGGACGGTGACGAAGCACTTTTGAAGCCGCTGGACTGACTCTTTCGAAGGGCAGTGTCGGCGGCCTAGATGAGAGATTCCTACAAACAGAGACATTCTCTCTGCACTGACAAATCAAACCCAAACACACTACGTAGCCATCACCACACACAACACACACACGCCCGCGTGATGTGCCCGCAAACCCGCTAGGCCACTAAAACACAACATAACGACAAATTCTGGCGACATTTTTTGAAGCGCCGACTGCGTGGCGGTGCAAGTTTCAGGAAGCGAATGGCGGCGCACAGCAGAGGTTTGAAATGGATGCAGCCATTTTGTCTCAGTGGAATGCGCTTTGTCATTTGTATTGGTTATGTTTACTTGTAAAAGGAGTATCAAGGGTCTTTATTTAGACCCAGTGTGAAGCGTAGTTTTCGGCGTCAGGTATACGCACCACGTCTCCGATCTGCATGGTGCGCAGGCGCGGCGTGAGAGCGTCCGTGTCCACCCGAAAGCGAGTGTCCTCGAACTCGACGTGGTCGGAGGGACACGGCACCATCTCGGCGTCCGGCACGACCAGCGGTCGCGGAGATCCCGTGGGTCGACTCTCGATCGGCTCCGGTAGCAGCTGCTCGGACTCCCGGAGCGCCCAGTTGTCCGAGTTGTACCAGTGCACCCGTTCCTGACCCACGAACTTGGCTTCGCCTGCAGCGAAGCGTACCAGGTAACCGACTCTCCACGCTATGTATTCGTGTGTATTCGTACCAGGATCGTGTCCGTGTATGTCGACACAAACCTACCTGGACAGCTACCGCCATCTATGAGCGACGGCGGCAAGCACAGAACCAGTATGGTTTCCGCCGTCGCTCGTAGATGGCGGCAACCTTTCCAGCTATAATAGAAGAATGTATAGTTTGGCGCATTGGTGGGAATTCATCTTAGGAAACAGCGCGAAAAACAGACGACGACGAAGAAGAAGCACACAGTGTATCGAGTACAGCTCCGCTGGTCTTCCTTCTTCAGGAGAGTGTAAAGGATAAGCGATTTATTTTTGTTTTTGGTCTAAAGCATTTGAGAAAAGACCGAAGTCTAAACGGCGATGAAATGGTTGTTGCTGACAACTTAGTAACAAAAGACGTGGCGACTTTCGGGCTTTTTCTTACCTCTCATCAGCCGAAGAGACGGCGAGTTTTAGTCGATAAGGATGGCGAAGCACTACTGACGAGGCGAAAAGGAAAACATAATCGACTTGATGTCCGATTCTTCTCGAGCTCTCGCTGATTAGAGCAAGTTTTCTAAGATAGAAAAATACAATAAATACGTTCTCTTCGCTCATACCGAGTAAAGGCAGTGGATCGCACAAGGCGGTTATGTTCAATTTCGCTTAACTGACATTCCGTGGATTACATTTCTTCAGCACTATCCACGAAAGATGCACAGATTGGGTTCCGCTGTTCTTTGGCTTCTGCCAGCGAGACATTAGAAATATCTTTTTAACGCTACCTTCTAAATTTGGCGCTAAAAAGGTAAAAGATAAAAGGTCGACGATCAGGTGTAACGCTTCTTCCAGTAACATCTCGTCTCGTGGAAACCTGCTAAATCCAAGTCATAAAAAAATTATAAATTAAAAAAATTTAAAAAGCTTAAATATAGAAATGTGTAAATAATAATGTTTTTGTTAATATTATAATGTTTTTTCTTTCTTTTAAAGAACAGGTCATTATAAAATAATAAGCTCAGAACAACGTCAACTTGAAGTTCTGGGAGCATGCTAGAGGAGACAGGCATACAGTTAGACCCAGTGTGTCTTTACAAAAAAAAAAAAAAAGCATGTGCGGGCGCTGCGAAAACTCTGTACGGGAACCTTTAATAATGATGGGTGTACCGAGTTCAGCCGGCTATTCTTCCGAATGACGCTTCAGCACGCGCGGTACGAAGCCCCTAGGTCGCCGCCCCCTTAAAGGAGCGGCGCAACGATATTCATTTGGAATGTTTTTTTTTCACTTTACACGAGCATACTGACACTAGTGGGACTCGAGGATACTCACACGCAACGCCACTGGCCAAGAAACGCCTTTGTTGCGGTGTAATTTCAAGGACAAAAGCGATCATTTTCATTCAATCTCTCCTTTGCAAATTTTGATGACGTCACGTGGGGATCGAAGTTTACTCCAATGACGATATTTGAATGCGGTTCACAGATTGGACTCGAGCATTACGTGGGCACTCAACTTGGGCTCGTGATAATTACTAGCTCGAGAAGCATTCGGGTAGTGGCCCTTGTCCAATCCCTGCAATGACGACAACAGCCGAGCCATAACAATGTCTGGAACTCAGCGCGTGTCCTGTGCTTTGCCAACCCCAGCGCGTGGCTATGATCAGCATTGGTGGCATATAATCGGCTTTAAGTCACGTGGCCGTTTGTTCTGGCTGCGAGTTGAGGGATCGAAAGCTGCTCGTTTTTCCTTAATTTTTTACTTGGACTTCTATTGCGTGGGGTGAAAAACGAACGCGTGTTTCATAGGCCATTACCGTCAGGGATCCGTTCTAAGTGGTATTTTCGCAAAGTACAAAAATTGTTGCATCGCCCCCTTTAAGACGCGGCCACACTTCAAAAACATCCCACAAAGGACAGAATGCAGCCACTCTCTGAGATCTTCCTTGTACGACGGTCCTATGTGGAGGACAAGTCGTCTGCTTCTTGCTCAGGAGTTGCAGTGACGTCATAACGAGACCGAGCTCTGATTGGCTTTCATCGAACGTATAGTGGGTAGACCTCAATGCTACATGCCTCAAGGTCTACCCACTATTTGTTTTTCCAATCAGTCAATAAGAGCTCGACGTTCTGACTTCATTGCAACCCCTATAAAAAAAGCAGACGAACGTGTGCTCCGCATTATCGCATTGGACATACAGAAACTGTCCGCGGACATGTCTGAATGAAGCGTTTGTATAAAGCAAACATGCTTGGAACATGCTTGACTTCGTCTCCGCAAATAATTCGGTCATCATGTCTACAGGGAACAGCGTGTATTTCGTATGATGTATGAGCTGCGGCTTCACCAGTTCCAGACTGCGCACTTATAGCCACTTGCCTGGGCAGGATGATGGTCCTCTGGTGAAGCTAATAGAGGCGCCTTCGTCCAGTACCAGGGCGCCCGACTTTTGAAAGACCTGCGAGGCGCCGATGAATATACCGGTCAGCCACAGTTACGTCGAAGGACAGCATCATGCTTCCTGTGCCAACTATACTATAGTCACCGAAACGGCTTTTTGAGAAACGCAAAGTGTGACACATAAGGTTCACACTTCCTGCTTCGTGATCGGTTCTTAATGGCGTTCTCAGTGGCTCGGGCGGCCAATTGTTATTGGAGTGGTAGTACGGCGCCCGTGGTTCGTCATACCTGGTGCTTCTTGAGTGCTACGCGTCTATGAGAGTCATCACGTTGGTGTTTATCGCGTCATGTACATTTACTGGCATGTTCGGAAACCCCGGCGTGGCTTATGTTCAGGCTTCTAGCTTCGTGATCATCGAACGTACAATGTAATTTCTATGTAAATCTCCCTGCATCACACAATTTTTAGTGTGCATCTTTGCATTTTCGATCGTGAACATATTGTATTTCCTTAATGTCCAGAATTTGGTGATCTAGATACCTACCTCAATAAATAAATGAATAACTACGATACTACCGCCAGTTTCGCGCTTTTTACTCAAACTTAAGTATAGCGGTTGCATCGTTTATTCTACCGCTGATATATTATTACGAGTAATTTTTAGGCAACCACGATTCCCATGGAAGGGGAATAGAGATTCCTGAAAGCAGTCTATCACAATCCTGGACAACACTGATGAGATATTTGTCTCAAGATTGGCCACTGTCTGAGTTCTCCGCTGTTCAACGAAGCTCCTAGTTGTCGTAAACGAGCGCGCAGTTTCCTTTTTTTTTTTTCAAAAATGTTACTCTATGGAATATCGAGCATCTGCTCTCTCCCGTAAATTGCTCGGGAAAGAGCATCGCTGCGATCTACAAAGGGCGCTTGGCGAATGACGGGAAAAATAATAAGCTTAAACAAAACAAAACAAAAACAAACTTCTGCGCGCTGTGACACTGATCATGACGTTTCACCATGGCCAGTGCCACAGCGCAGACTGCTTTTATTAGGGTTCGAGCCAACGGGTTAGGGTTAGAGTTACGTTTAGTGCTAGAGTTAGAGAGGATTGGGGTTAGAGTTGGGAGTAGATGTAGACTTAGGGTTAGAGTTCTGGTTAAAGTTAGGGCTAGGGTTAGGGTTAGAGCAACCGGGCCCTGGTGACTCGGGTGCTTTGAAGGAAAGTAGGCGCTCCAGATTTCTTAGTGCGTTAACACTGCTCGCTCGGTCAACGTCACCACTTGGACACGACGTCAGAGAGGCAAGGCTGATGTCGGAGCGGCGACGTCATGTACTTTAGATTCTAGTCTCTGTACAAAAAAAAAAAAAAAGAGGAAGTGACGGTTGATTAAGATCAAGTGGGAGTTACAAAAAACAAATGACAACCTTGGTTTTTAAGTGCAATAGCTTTTTCTAGGTTCACCAAACCGCGAAATTGTATGCATCTGTCGGCCCCGGCTAGGGTGCTAAATTTACCGGGAAAACCTCAAATGGTGTGCAATATCATACGTTACCTTAATTTCCTTATAAATGGATGAAAAGGGAGGCTAGGAAAACAAAATGAAGCTGCAAGACAACTTGATGGGTCCCCGAACTTCTTCAATGGCACACAAAGAGCAGCTTGACAAAAAACAAAATAAACGAAACTTTTGGTTTCACACATTGCACAATTCAATCATGAGGCAGATAGAGCCAATAATAAAAAAACCTGGTTTTACACAAATATGCAATTGGATCAAATAAATCTCTCATCAATTTGCAAATACATTTTATAGATAATAAATGGTAAGAGATTGATGGCGCACATTGTGACTGATATAACTGTTAAGTGGACATAAAGGCATGAAAATACACGCCAATTTAATTTCCCCCCTAAATCTTACGAAAAAAGATGAATTGATGTATATTATACAAATATTCAATAAGGAAAGAACTAGAGGGAAAATGGCACCGCTTTGAGTCCGACCGAAAACGCTGAGCTCAACGGACTTCTGAAGGGTTGCAATAGATCTCAAATGCTATCGCATTCCATCTCCTTTGGCAGCAGTAACGAAGTGTTTTTGCAGGAGTTTTTCTTGTATCCCTAATCCGATATTTGGGAACCGTGGAATAGGGAGCCCCGATACTTTCAGTCCCCCGACCAGTCTGGTGCGACGCACTGCACACGTGCAGAACTTCTACGCTTGCGCAGTGCAACTCCCCAAACTGCTCTGGGACCATACGCGTTAGGGCCCGGCCCCTATTTTAAAACTATCGATCGTTACTTTCACGCATTTATTTGAGGTTCATTTTTTTCTATCCTAAAGCAGGTGTGTCGCCTTACCATACCGCCCAGAGATATCGACGAGCCGAGGTGGACGGCTAGGCCCGTTGCTTCAGCGAGCGAAGCACTCTGGCCCGAGCACGGTTTCTGACCCGATGCCCAGTTTTGGCCGCTCTCAAACCGGGTGTCGGGTATCCACTTCTTCACTGCACTGTGGCAGCCGCCTGCGAGCGCATCAGCCAGTTCGCACGCTGCATTTCATCGCGGTCACGTGATGTATATATCACCGCATGGACATTGCTGTAACATTTTTTTTCCCCTCGTTTCAGAAGGCAGTCGCCAAACCGTTCAGTACTCGAAGCCAACTTATGATTCTGCTATTTCCGACAACGCAAAACCATCGAAAAACTGTTTGTTACTGTGGAGCGGGGTGAAAACGTATTACTTAGAAGAATGAAGACACAAACACCCGGCATCGGCCTGAAGTGGTGACGCTGTTTACGGCACTACGAACGAAAAATACACTTTACGCAAAGCTGCTATCTGATTTGCGCAATGAGAATACCTGAGTGAGCAATTTAGCGCCTGTTTGCAAAACAGAAAGTTGTCAATGCTTATTCTTACTGTCATTCTTTTTCTTTTTTTTTTTTTTTTAAAGTTTGGTAGACGTTTGAATCACAACGAGATTTAAGTTCTTTGCTGTTCTCATCTTGGCATGGCAGACAGGCCTTTATTTGTCCTTCCATAAGGCAGAGGTTGTATATACTTATAGAACATGCAATATAATTAGGGCTGATATATTGATCGATTAACCTACCGATTTATCGATTAATGCTTTTATAGCGATTGATTTTTTAACCAGTTGATAAAAAAAATTGACGAACTAAAAAAATGTAAAAATTACACGCCTTCACTACGCAGATTTGGAAGAGTACACAATTCATCTCGTTATACTTTGGTTCCAATTAGTTACTAGAATTTTACAGCGGAGCTGTTAAGGGCTAGGTTCCCCAGGATCGTGTCCGTTATGTCGACACAGACTTACCTAGACAGCTGCCGCCATCTCTAAGCGACGGCGACAAGCACACAACCAGTATGGTTTCTGGCGTCGCTCGCAGGTGGCGAGCGACGCCAGAAACCATACTGGTTGTCTTTCAGGTAAATTGTGAAGGTGGTATATAAAACAGCGTCCCACATATTGGCATCAGAAAAGTTGTTCCACATACAGTAACAATGATTCCATGTGAAACGGTGTTCTATGTATTGACCTCTGGAAGAGCGCTTTTCAAATAAAGCATGCCTGGTATTATCCCGTGCATTTGTTCCAGATATTTCAAGCCATTCTAGTGGACTCTTATAGAAAGTCACTATATGCATTATATGACAACAAAAAGCTGTATACATCATATGACAACAATCGAAATACAAAATTTGATAGGAAATGCCCTAATACGCGATGCAAAAATGCACTCGGCGTCTCGACATTGGAAACATAATCAAAAGACAAGTTGGCACTACATTTGGGCTCATCAAACACAGGTGCGACGCTATTCTCACGAAAAGTATTTTAATATTAGCGACAACGTTTTTTTGTTTTTTTCTTCTTTTAGTTTGTACGCTTTGAAATTTGTTAAAATACAGTAAAATTACAACAAAAACAAAAGAAAGGAACATAAGTGTATGATTATAATGCAATTATAATCATACACTTAATTATAATTATAATTACAAATGTGCAAGCGAGGTGGACAAGAATAACATTAATAATACCTGGAGAAAGCGAACAAAGGGGACAAAGTAAAAACAAAACTCTCCATACACAGCTAGATGACTGTTGTGGGACCGAAAAATCCGCCTGGTCCTGGTATTAAACCAGTGACCTTTCACTCTCCACCAACTAAGCTAACCAGGAGCTTGACGTCAGTAGAGCAAACGGGTTTTATCTGCTGCCATCAGTCTAACACCAACAAGGATAAAAAGCTTGCATTTTTAAGGTTATGATTATAATGCAATTAATGGAAAGGTGACAGCGAGCCGGACAAGAATGGCAATAATAATCCCTGGAGAAGGAGAACAAAGGTGACAAAAACCAAGCGCAAATTTCCATACAGCTATAGGTGAATGGTGCGCGACCGAAAAAATCCGTCTTATCCTGGTATCGAACCAGGGACAGGAACACGAGTAGTTTGTTTTAAATTATCCACAAGTTTATTATACGGTTATGCACAACACACAACCAATGCGGCATAAAAGTGTGCCAAACTTAAACCGCTCTGTTGGACGCAAATAAATCTGCGAAACACTCTTCACTTCTTTACGTCTCGAAGAAATCATAAGGCGAATAACCATACCAACGGCGACGGTAGACCAAAAACGAAAGGAACAGAGCGAACGTCCGTCGGCAAAAAGGTTCGTGCGAACCTTACACAATAAGACCAAGGAATTTCGCACATGTAATCCGAGATCGCTGAGATCATACAGCAGTATCACAAGTGAAGCTGTTAGAAAAGCTCAGCGTCAAACAGCACAAACGGATCATGCACCGCAGCCGCCCGGCACTGTAGGCGCGTGGGCGCGCGGACGGGCTGCATGTCGCAGCAAGTTCCTCAGCCTGTAACAGTGTCGATGCCCGCTTTCAAAACGTTCAAACTGTTCAAACCATACCGCGGGAACTCCGTAACGAAAGCAAGAACCTTCACTGGAACTATTTTCTTAGTCGTACGAAGGACGTGGTCATTAGGTTCCCTTTTTTGTATCTGTTTTGATCTCTGGGCCGGCGCCTCTCTGAACGCTGGCCGCCTCCTTTTGTGTGTATTTCTTCTTGGTTTATTTATCTAATTTTTTACTCGGCCTGCGCGGATTTGCCGCCAAATTATTATAACTAGAACGCGACAAAAGTAAAAAGAACAAGAAAATCCACTTTCCGAAGGCTTTAACTGAAATAGATTAGCGCGAAAGGGCAGCAGGCCGTCTGATCCGCATAACACCTAAGATTTCTGCATAACAAAACAAAAATAAAGCGAACAGAACTGGCGTTCCACATATATTTCCCCATCCACATAAAAGCTTGACTTGTTCCAGAAGCAATATGTGAAATGTTAATTTAGTTAGGTCAAATTTTAGCCTAAAGTGAACTCTAGGTGCAAGATTTGGAACTCCTGACAGGGAGGGAGAGGCTACACGTGTCCGGGCCACTTTAACGTCGTTCGATCATGTCCGTTTAGCGCAGCAGGGACTATTGTGAACAATTAAAGGAGGTCTTTCTCGTCGGTGAATATGAACGAACTTCTTTGCCTCATGCAGCAGAAGTAATCATCTGAGTGTAAGTGTCTTCTTACCGTTCTTAAGTTTTAACTACACATTTAACTACACATTAAACATACGCATTAGATACAAAATTGCATATTTCGGCGTTCAACACATATTCAGTAAAAGCATCGATTTTGTTTTATCAATGACTTTTTTTTTAATTTTAGGAATGAAAATTAACGAGACCGGTTAATCTAGTAATTAATCGATTAAAGGGGGGAGGGATTATTTATCGGGTTAACTATTTTAGTCTGTGCCCAGCCCTACGGTATATATATATATATATATATATATATATATATATATATATATATATATATATATATACAACACGGGCACTTCACGTCATCGTACGTGGTCTCCGAGAAGGATATAAAGGAATATCTGCAGATGAATGAACCGTACTTAATCCAATGAATTAAAGAATCCAAGTTTCCAGGAACCCGCCGAAAGCCAAAAAACGGCGGAGCCAGGATCCTGGCTCCGCCGTTTTTTGGCTTTCGGCGGGCTCCTGAAAAACTTGGATTCTTTAAATCATTGGATTAAGTACGGTTCATTCATCTGCACATATTCGTTCATATATATATATATTATGTTAGAGAAATGGCAAAGAGGGCTTCATTTATTTTTTTCCGCCAGCTGGGGTGATGCTACTAGGCATAAATGTGATCACATATACTGTTACAAAAATAGGTAAGGCACGTCAAGTTGAACCTCTGTGGAAGCCTAATTTCGCCAGTGCGGAAAACTTCTTCAGTCAGGCGATTTTAAGCTACGTGTAAGTTTTATTAACCCAAAAGCTTGCCCTGGTCATCCAGTTGACCAAACCCACACCTTCATTCACCTAAGGTTGGCAACATGAAGAGCGACCGCTTACGCCGTAGGTTCCAAGAATTGAGAATTAAATTAATTAAATTCACGCTCACGACAGTTTTAATTTGATCTGTGTGTACGCCAGGATTCTGGACAAATGTTCCCTCTGCAGCAAACTCTACTCGCCCCCCCCCCCCCCTTTCTTTCCCCCCCCCCCCCCAAAAAAAATAAGTAAACAACAACAACAAAAACACTGCGGGAGGTTAGTGAAATCTCTGTTTGCAGTTAAATTCGGCTCCCAAGCGGACAGTAAGTGCAAGGATAACCGTTGCCACCAATATTCTAATTAGCTAAAATACATTCATAAGCTTTGGAAATTTAATTTGTGTGTGTATTTATATTAGAAACCCCAATGCGTGCGGCCATATTTCAAAACTGCTGCATATTGCAGAAGTCTCGAAAACAGCCCTTGTTCCGAAATATACGTGTCTCTTCAGATTCGCCACTCAATCCGGCTAGTTACTCCTTCAGAACGGCAAAGTTTGGCGTAATAGCGATCTAACACTAGGTTTCTGCTTATGACATACCGCAAACAAATATGTTTAAAACACTTAACAAACAAATTCACATACTAAAAGCACTTAAATTGATTTTTTCACAATATTAAAACTTCGAGCTAGCGTGCGATTGAAAAATCACTCACCGGGGAGCCATAAGAGAACGAGGCAGGCGACTAGAGGCAGCATGACTTTTTCGAAGCTCTCGTCGTCTGGAGCGGCGCGGTACGATCCGCCGCGACACCGCCTCCGAACGTGTCAGGTGTCTGGGGAGACGCGGCGTCGTGGTACCTCCCGCCACCGAGGGCTGACTCGACGAGTTCTTTCAGTGGTTAACGCGAGCCGGTTGTTATTGGAAGTGCTGGAAATGCCTGTTTCCGCTTTGTACTAAATTTCGTTTTAAGTATTGGCTGTGATTTCTGGAATGGCCGTCAATATTCGAGAATGCTTCGTGGGTTGGTGTTCAATTGCCAAATTTACGGTACAATTTTTGCTTCACATTTCCTTTCTAGTATGAGGGTGAAAAATGTGTGTGTGTGTGTGGG